GGAAAATTTGCTCATTCATATACTGGACAGCATTTTAGTCATTCACAATGCAAGAAATCACAAGCATTGTCAAGATTGTTACATTAAAATTTAAACATGACTTAATATCACCAGGAATTTTCAACTTTGAATTTATATGCTTTTTGACTTGATAAGTACAAATTACAAGTTGGTTATGTTTTCTGGCATCAACTGAAGTTTGTATAGATAGAATATGTTAAATGCTAGTAGCAAAATAAAAATTTCTCACCGATTCAAAGCTTTCCCTCAGAATATTGCTTTAGTTCATAGACTCTCACCAGTAACTGCTTATCTGTCTGGGGCTAGGAGCATGGCAGCTACAGTAAGGGGATAGATTTGGGACGATTAAATTTGTGCTTGGCAACATGAGTGTGTGGATGGATTGGGAACATGGGGCAGATCTAGAGTCATTCTGCAGGACTGTGGCCTCAGCTGGCCCTGTCACAGCCCTCCCTGCCGCCGTGGGCTGAGGCTCAGGACTACTCTGAGCGGACTTGGGTAGGGTGCTAACAGCGATCCTCAGTATTCGCACTCTACACAGGGCTTTTAAAAAAAGAAAATCAAATAATAGCTCTCCAGAGAGAAATGCTTCCTCTTACATGATTACCCTAATGTCATCAGGACTCCAGTGTAAGAGTTTAAACACTGCCTTTGAACAAAGCAACTTTTTTAGGACACACTCGTTCTCTTTGCTTTTGCCCATGGGCAAAGGCACTGCGGTTTTCTGTGTAGAAACCCCTCGTCCCAGTGAGTGGACACTGCAGACGTCTGAGTGCCTGCCAGCGGGAGGTGAGTGACAGGTGTGCACTGGAGGGAGACTGAGGCAGGGTGCTCCTGGGAGGAGCGTGGGGAGGGCGGCACAGGGCTTTGGCACAGGCGGCACCATGTGCCACCTTAAAACTTCAGGGGTCCTGGCTGCCATCTCCTTGCCAGCCCCTTGTCACAGTGGTCACGGCAGTGAAAACAGCAAGAGAACTAGGGCTACACTAGGGTTACAGTTATTCAGTGCTGCGGGGCACTGCCCGGGCGTGTCTGCGGGCAGCTCTCTCTCAGCTTGGCGCAGAGCTGGTCTAATGGCAAGATTTACAGAATCATCTGAAAATCATTTCTCGGGAGAAATTTTTTCTCCTTTTTAATTATCCGGATAGTGTCAACACGTGAGCGTGGGGCGGATGGAGGAACGGGACTGATGGCTGGGGAGGGGGATCTGCTTCTCAACAGTGGGCCTGTGGCCACAGGCTGCACCTGCCCTTCGACAGATTGACTTTGGTCTGCAGTGTTGGCCAAGAGCGGGAGTTGGCGGTCAACACTTCAGTGTCAGGTGATACTGTTTCTAACTGAGAAGAACCAGCAGCCCTGGGCCCGACTGCTGTGTGTTCTGATTGGCTGGCTGGCTGAGCTGGTCTCCGTCCTGGTGGTGTGCGCTGGGGTTCAGCACGCTTCCCCACTCCTCTAGGGTCCCTTTTTTGCCTGATGTGCGTGATCAGTCACAGACTCACCTGGCCTTCCTAAGGCATCCTAATCTGCAACCTCTGCTCTACCCCATTGGGAAGCTTCTTTTAAAAACGAGACAGGGCTCAGTGGGTTGAAAACTACTCAGCCATCAACACTTCGTGGGAACTCAACTGCGAACAGTGAAGACAGTGCAAAAGAATGAAGCAGGAGAGTGTGCCTCATCTCAGAGCCCAGGGGCCCAGGCCACACGAGCTTTTTCCAGTGCTTTCCCAGTCCTCGTGTGTGCAGGTCTAAAGCCCACTTGAAGTCAAGGTCTGGGTGACCTTCCGAACAGTCCACAGGGGCTGCTCACAGGCACATGGCTGTTCCATCTCAGCTTCCGTTTTGGTAACATTGGTATTCTTGGCTAAGTAGACTAGCTTTTGAACTACTAGAACCTTGAAAAGATACTTTCTTGTTATAACAGTGAACGGGGTTGAAAAAACAGTACAGCGTTATGAAATGGTTTTGGCAAAGCTCAGAATAACTCGTGCAGTGACTAAACTCTTAGCTTCCCTCCCTGTTTCCCGACTTAGGGATAATACTTTCTGCTCATGGCCTTGTGTGCCTGGGAGTTCTTCACAGTGGAAAAAAATCAAGCACTTGTTCCAAGAAAAGGAAATTAAAGTTGCTTTGTTAGTGCTGAGGATAACCCTCTTTTAAACACTACAGATCTCTTACCTCTATCTTTGGGTGTATATACTATGATTTTAGAAAATTTCACACAATGCTATATATGCTAAGTTAAACGCAGGTTTGTGGTTCTGATAGGTTGAGTGGAGAACTTGATATAGAATTTATCATTGTGCACTGAAGAATTTACAAGAATATTTTTCCCACGGCCTATACACATTTCTGCTAACAGTTTTTCCTTAGATTTAAAATACAAACAATGAATGAATGCTTCACATGTCTTTTTTCCAAAATGTTTTGAAGACATACTGGTGATGATAAAGGAGTGGCTGCTGCTATCCTGATTCTCTTGTAAATAACCATCCCATCCCATCTGCCTTCTCCCCTGCTGCAGAGGGTTTATTGAAAAGATAATGCATCAAAACGCTTGCTTAAAAGAGGCGTAGCCCTTGGTTGGTGAGCAGGAATTGTGTATAACATTAACACTTCCTGTCTGGTAAAATACTGTATTTTAAAAAATAAGCTACAATGTATAAAACCAAGGTCATTTCCCACAAAATGTTCATGTTTTTTGTGATTACAAAACACTGCATCTTGTAAAATATTTCCAGTTCTGCTAACTTGAGAAGTTGAATACTAATGCTTATAAAAGTGTCATGTCTCAGAATTATAGAAGCCTAAGCAGTATATTTCTTGTTTCACTTGGAAAATTATTGTATTTAAGATTACATTTTGCCACAACACGTTACCATTGTGATTCTCAGACCCACACAACCGAAGTTATAAAACATGAGATTGTCTTCAAAAAAAGGAACTATTTACAAAATAGGACCAGAGGCAAAATTCCCATTTTGGTTCTTGGTCCTATAATAGATACACCTTTTAAAGCATGTATAGCATTGGATATGGGCTTTTCCAAAGTCAGTCATAATAAGCAAACCAGTTGGTCATAAACACATTGTATACTTTCTTGCTCAATTGATGGGCATTACTCAGCAACATGACTGATACCTAAAAGTGCGAATCTTGTTTTATTTACTGACTCCGGGTTTGGTGAGTTACAATGCAAAAGGGACAGAACAAAACAGGTCCAATGTGGAGAAATCCTCACAGGTAGAGGAACAGGGGGGAGTCTGAGTGCCGCTAGCAGGGTTTCTTTCTTACAGAAATGAAATTTCCAGTTGACCTGTGTGCCCACCACATCCTCCAAAATGATCGCATCCTCATTCGTATTCACGAATCCTGCTGTCTCCATTCATTTGTGTGCCCAGACTCTTCCCTGTGCTCACACAGGTCAATGCTACAGCTGATGTGGTTGACAGAAATCCCACGGGGCTGTGAGAAAAGGCAGCACCTTGTCCACAGAAGTCCACGGCAGTTTGCTCCTTAACATGCTATTAAAGCAAAATGCACGTCTTTCACGGCTTGCTCTCACTATAGAATTCTGCTTATAGCTAAGAAACAGCCACCGAAACTGGGTGATTATAAAAATGAACGGCAGGGCTTCATGTTCACAATTACATTCAGAAAAAATCCTTGCGGAGTCCATGAACACCCGCCAGGCTCTGTGCCCCAGGCTCAGGTGTCAGCCTTAGGCTGCAGGTTAGCTACTGAGGGACAGCCGTCCGCGGGACATGGGTCTCACGGCTCCCGAAGCCCACACCGCCTGGTTCTCGGAGACTCGTTTTGAAACGATACCATTTTCACATGAAAAAAAGTTGTTCTGACTAGAAAAGACTTCAGTGATAATAAAGATTCTTCCTAGACTTAGGATTTTCTAGACCTATTTCTCACATAGCCTTTGTTTCCCTGAGGAAATAATATTTACATTATTTTGCTACTATTCTCCAGGTATTCTCTTTTGTAGGTACCGTTCTTGCCACTTTTCTCTGTGCCTTCTCAAGTGCATGCTGCACCTCGTTTTCCAACAGTCTGATTGATGGAGGGGGCGGTGGAGTTCAGCAGGGCCGGCCGATTTGGAACCCAGGGCTGAGTGCAAAGGGTGGCGGAGTTCTGACACCAGAGATAACGGCGTCAGCTTGGGTGGTCTTGACATTTAATGGAGCACTTTACAATTTCAGATTTTTTTTTTTCAATGCAAAGTCCAAGTGTCATTTTCTACTGAAAGTTTTCATCTGTAGCGTGCTTATGACCAGGCAGCAGCTGCCTAGTACAGGGCACCTTATTTGCACACAGAGCTGCTGACAGGCATATTGCATCTGAGGACGCACATTCCTGGTCAGAAACCCACCACCCTTCTCCTTGCCATTGGCTTTTGCCAACCAAGGGAGAAAACTTTACATCAAGTGAGGTGGAGACAAGCCTGGCAACTGCTCAGGGACAGCCCCTGCTGGCTCACTGGCCCCAAGAAGATGAGCAGGAGCCAGGTGACCACAGACCCCTTGCATCTCCGCCCTGACCATGCACCACCTCTTGTTTCCCCCAGGCTGTCTCCCTGTCCTCCCATATGTTGTACAGACTCTGGGAAGACTAAGGCTTGAAACTTCGCCTGCTGCACATGCTTTGCTTTGCAGCTAGCTGGAGAACAGCCTGTCAGGCACCAGGAAATGCAAAACTGTTTTGAAACTGGGGGCATCAAGGGTGAAAAAGATCTCAAACATTTTCACTGGGACCAGAATCCGCTGTGGTGCCACAGACAGGCCCCTGAGCACCCTGGGATGGATAAGCTCACCTTGGGATTGCTCTTCTCCCCCTTCTTTCCCCACCTGCCAAGTGCAGACATTAGAAGTACTCGGTTCCACAGAGATGGCAGAAAGTGAAAGTCTGGCTTAGTTTGGCACTTCATTTGGTTCCAAAAAAAAAAAAAAAAAAAAAAAAAAAAAAAAAAAAAAAAAAAAAAAAAAAAAAAAAAAAAAAAAAACTACTTAAAAGAGTTAACAACCAGTAACTGTATACTGCAGTTCAGAGCTTGTTGTGTGGCCTGTAAAAAGTATAATCCCTTTTCTTCAACGCCAGTCAGGAGTGGCTTGGTGGGCTCTTAGTTATTACATGTCTTGGTACAGGGAATGGGTGTCTGCAGGTCCAGGAAGGTACAGAGGGTCTGTTCACAACTGGCGCCAGAAAAGAAAGTACCCAGAGGCCTGGCTGGTCAGCAAACGGAGCACCCATGCAGGCAGGAGATGTAGAAGAATCTGTATGCAAAAGTCCTTAGGGAAAAAAAGCTCCCAGGGAGAGGGGGACGCTGCAGTTCCTGCTTACACCTGGGTGGGGCTGAAAAACAGGTGTAAGGGCTGAGGTGGCTCAGTGAGGCCTGAGCTCAGAACTGCTGTGTGGACTGCGTCTGGAGGGGACCGCCACAGAGCCTCGCTCCCAAGCAGGGACCTCTCCTGCCCTGTGCCCTAGAGAGCTGAGGGGGAAATGGTTTCAGCCCCCATCACTTTTGTGACCTACTCTAAGGATCAAAGGCCAGGGAGCCTCACTGAGAAGAAAAACCTCTGGTGAAGGAGCGCACCCTGACTACTGTCATTTAAGTTCAGTACGCGATGAACTTGACCGAGCACGGACCGGCCTGGACCTTCTCACGGCTCCCGGGCAGTGCCATCACCTAGGCCGCCTGCCCCAGCTAGTGTCACAGCAGCAGTGCTGCAGGCAGGGACAGGACACAGAACCAACATCGTGGGGCAGAGAAAGCAGACGCATTTCTACATTTTGAGAAACACTGCTTCCTGGCAGTACCAGGACGCGGAGCACACCTGCTGTGACGAATATTGATTAGTATCTTTGAAAGGAATTTGGATGAAACTTTTTTCTCTTGAAGTGTTTAAAAAAAAAAAAAAACTGAAGGCAAAGACCAGAATCTCTTCCAAGGAATTAACTTTTAGAAAGTCATGAGTGTCTAAAAAATAAATTTGCCAAAATACATGTATATGCAAATTATGAATGCGGCACTGTAGAACCTCCTTACAGATCCTTTATATTAGAAAAGGGTATCTCTGTTTACTGGGTGACTTCTTTCTACTCTTTTTCAAAAGCATATGTACATTCTCTAAACATATATTAAGCTCTCCCCTGTGCAATTTCATTGACATTCTCTGGCTGATCCTGGGTCCCCATCCCCACACAGTGCCTCCTTTAAGGTGCTCTTGCTTCTTTGCATAGGTACAGGACAGGCCAGTCGTTCGCAGGGCAACGTCAAACAGGGCAGACAGCCAAGGGCTGGACAGCTGTGCCTGGCTCCCACCCCCACCCATGAGCAAGCACAACAGGTCAGTGGTCCCGGTAACTAACACACAGCATAAGTCCTGGCCCTGCTAAACGAGAGATTCCTATACCAACATGCATTTTCCTTTTGGTGTTCTGTATGTTCCCTTCTGAGCAAATTCTTAATAGCTCCCATAATTTTACAAGAAAAATAAAGGTTTAGATCCTTTCTCTATGTTTATATTGTTCATAAACCCATCTCCCAGATACACTAAAGCATAAAACCTAGAAAAGTGCACTCAGCATGGAGCCGGCTTGTTGACCTGATGTCAAGTCACTTTCTGAACAGATGGGGACAGGTCAGCTGTGCTCGGTTGTCTAAAGCAAACCTTCAGGGCCAGTCTGGAGTTCTGTATCTTTTCTGGGTGGCAGCGTCTGCAGGACTGGACCACTGACTCCACCTGGTCATAACCTGGACAAGCAAGTGGAACCAAACAGGTATGAGCTGTAGTGCCATCGCATCCCTGAAAGGAGCAGGCTTACCCAAGGGACTCCAGGTGTCAGTCCTTGTCTGAGCTGCGGCAGGTGGAGAATTCGTTGTGCTGCCTCTTGGGGAAGAGCTTCGTATGGATGCAAGGAAGACTCCTGGATGTTCCCAACAGTAACAGCAGGACGTCCTCAACTCAGCTGGGGGCCAAAGTCTGCTGGCGATTCCACTGCGGATTGCTGTCTCGGCTTATGCCATCTGGGGCCCTCCAAGCTAACTTGAACTCTACCACGGTTCAATTTGGGGGCTGATCTTCAAAACAAAACAGACATAGAAAAGATACCCAGGGTGCTGCTCTTTCCTGCAGCATATCATGATGTGTACTGCTCCAAGAAGTCAGAGGAAATGCAGGGAAAAAGATATTCACAAAGGATATCTCCTTTTGTTCTCTGTACAAATGCTACTGAATATCACGTAGCTTAAGTGTTTGTTCTTTAACCGTCAAAATCTCAGACATTTCATAATTCAGAAAGCTTATCAAAATGCGCCTTTCTAGGTAAAAATGGGCTTGGTTGGTTCAACTGTAGAGAAGTCCACAGAATTAAGACCTAGACTCACAGCAAATAAAGTATACTTTTCTTTTGAAAGAGAAGAAAACCATCCTGTTATAGGCTGGATTCTCAGTAAGAGCAGTGGAACGTGGTGATATTTTTTGTTTTGTTTTGTCTTCGCTGTAATTCCACCAGTGTTCCTGGAAGTGCTTTCCCTGGGCCTCCAGAAAGTGTCCTTTGGAAGGAGCAGCCCTTTCCGACACTTGTGGCGGGAGGCACCGGTGCGGCGCTGCGGGCGGGGCTCGGGTCTCAGTCCACGAACCTCTGGCAGGCCTTCTTCCAGCGGCAGGCGGTGCACCACATGTCCCGGTTCTCCATCCCGTACACCTTCCGGCACTTTTTTCCCTCTCCTCGGGGCTTCCTGCAAGGCAAAGAGGATGTGTTCAGTGGGGGGAGCCTGGTGGGCCTTCTACGGAGAGCCAGAAAGGCCAAGGGAAAAAGCTAGGAAACGCAGCAGGGTTCTCCAGGCTCTGACTTTAGCCACCGCCGCTGCGTGTCACTGGAACGTTTGCTGGGACAGTCCTTGAGCTGCTGTTGTGTCCTCTGTGGACACGCTGGTTTGGCCATCTCTATAAATAAGTAAACAGAAGAACCAGCCATAGAGAGCAACAATGCTCCTTTTTAAGTTTTCAAGTATGCACCTCCCAGTGCTCCCTTACTTCTGTTTCTATAATTGTGCTTAGGGCCTCCTGGGAGGTCCTCCCCATCTGGAATAAAAGCTGTGTCTTGTGGGTCATTTCATACAGAGCTTAATGCAACACAGTTCTTAATAGACCCAAGAGGGGCTGGAGGTTTAGCTCAGTGGTTCTGCTGCCTGCCTCCCAAGCGTGAGGGCCCGAGTTTGATCCCTGGTACCAAAAAAACAAACAAAAAATAGACCCAAGAATCAGCATTACTTATTCTGTAAGAAAACTCACTGTAAATACCGCCCCCCAATAGTAAATCAGCATCAATGCACAGGAAGGGCACTTCGTGGACTGTGGAAGAGGGATACTGTTTTCCAGGCAATCCCCTTGAAGAAGAGTGAGCTTCTGGCAGACATACCTTAGGCCGACGGCCCCTCTGGGTGGGGAGGACAGGACCGTGTGGGCGTGTTGTCTCTGCTCGCCACTGCCTGCTGGAGGATGGTGATGTGTTGGTGACACCTGGTAAACACAGAAAGTCAGGTGACAGAGCGGGTTCTCTGGACTGTGCATTTACTTAGCCTTTGTCATGTAGACAATGGTCCTTTACCATCAGACATGAAGATGAAATGCTTTTTCCAGAGAGAACGCATTAAACAGATGATGGACACTCGGGGCAGAATTTAAATGGCTCTGCTGGAGAGAGGCTGCTGGAAAAGAACCCTTCTTCACTGTGGGTGGGAGTGGAGACTGGTACCACCACTATGGAAATCGCCATGGAGATTCCTCCAAAGACTGAAAATAGAAATTCCACTCTACTTAGCTATTCCTCTTGCGACTGTCTTCCCCAAACAGTTGAGGACATCATCTCACAGTGACACAGCACACCTGTGTTTACAGCAGCACAACTCATAGTAGCTAAGTCTTGCAAGCAGCCTCTATTCCATCAGCAGATGAGTGGATGGAGAAACACAGTATTATTTGCAACAACGGACAACTACTCTGTCACAAAGGACAAACGAGTCTTGTGGAAGATGGATGCACCTTGAGACCATAAATATTACATGGTCTCTCTTATATGAGAAATTTATTTTATTTTTTCTCTCATTGAGTTTATTGGTACATTTTAGGTATACAATACAGTTATATACACCACTGGGATCTTGTACCTCTACATGACAGGTCTTGGTTCTCATTTTTTCCCCTTGTTCCTGCCAAACGAGTCTTGTGGAAGATGGATGCACCTTGAGACCATAAATATTACATGGTCTCTCTTATATGAGAAATTTATTTTATTTTTTCTCTCATTGAGTTTATTGGTACATTTTAGGTATACAATACAGTTATATACACCACTGGGATCTTGTACCTCTACATGACAGGTCTTGGTTCTCATTTTTTCCCCTTGTTCCTGCCCCTCCCCATTTACAAACACTTTTTTTTTATCTCATTTTTTGTGGCTGAGTAGTATTCCATTTTATAGAAAAACCACATCTTCTTTATCCAGTCTCCAACTGATGGGCAAATGGGCTGTTTCCAAGTTTTAGCTATTACAAACTTGTGCCGCTATAAACATAGGTGCACATGTATCACTGTGATATGATTCTTTTAGTTCTTTTGGAAAGATACCCAGCAGAGGGATGGCTGGGTCAAATGGAACCTCTAGTCCCAGCTCTTTGAGGTATCTCCGTATTGATTTCCATACTGGTTGCCACCAGTCTGCACTCCCACCAACAGTGGAGAAGGGTTCCTTTCTCCCAACAACCCTGCCATCATTAGTTTTTGATTTCTTGATAGCTGCCATTCTTTGTGGGGTGAGGTGGAATCTCAGTGTTGTTTTCATCTGCATCTCTCGAATGACCAGTGATGTGGAACATTTTTTCATATATTTACTTTCTGCTTTTACTTCGTCTGAGAAATGTCTGTTCATTTCAGATGCCCATTTTTGAACTGGGTCTTTATATTTGGGGGGCTGATTGTTTTGAGTTCTTTATATATTCTAGATAAGAGTCCTTTGAGGAGCAGCTGGTAAAACTTTTTTCCCACATTGTAGGTTGTCTTTTAGCTCTGTTGATAGGTTCTTTTGCAGTGCAGAAGCTTTTTAGTAAGATGGGATCCCAGTTGTTGATTCTTTCTGCTAGTTCTTGTTGAGAAATTTAATATATAAATGAAGTACAAAATATAAGACAAGAGGAAAAGTTATGGTGATCCAGCATGGACAATGTATCTAAAAGCATACCCTGATTTAGTATAACTGTCTTATGTATTTTATGTCTTTTGGCCTGTTAGTCTGTTAATCTGTGTGTACGATAATATTAATTTTGTAAGGACTTTAAGATAAATGAATCTAATGGTGGCAAATAAAAGAGAGAGAGGAAAGGGGTCAAAAGAATTGAAGTGTGTTATGTCCATGGGCCAGTTCCCCACAAAGACTCCCCATTTACAAACACTTTATTTCCATTTTCTCATATATTTTTTCTCTTATTAACTTTCCCCTACCTTTCCCACTTTTCCTACACCTTTATCCCTTTTCTTCCTATTTCACATTGTTAATTATCCCATTAGGCGCTTATGTACTATTATTGTTTTTCACACCAGAGAAATTATTCGGTATTTACACATGTGTGACTTATTTATTTCACTTAGGAGTATATCCTCAAAATGTATCCATTTTCCTATGAATGAATCTAATTTCTCATTTTTTGTGGCTGAGTAGTATTCCATTTTATAGAAAAACCACATCTTCTTTATCCAGTCTCCAACTGATGGGCAAATGGGCTGTTTCCAAGTTTTAGCTATTACAAACTTGTGCCGCTATAAACATAGGTGCACATGTATCACTGTGATATGATTCTTTTAGTTCTTTTGGAAAGATACCCAGCAGAGGGATGGCTGGGTCAAATGGAACCTCTAGTCCCAGCTCTTTGAGGTATCTCCGTATTGATTTCCATACTGGTTGCCACCAGTCTGCACTCCCACCAACAGTGGAGAAGGGTTCCTTTCTCCCAACAACCCTGCCATCATTAGTTTTTGATTTCTTGATAGCTGCCATTCTTTGTGGGGTGAGGTGGAATCTCAGTGTTGTTTTCATCTGCATCTCTCGAATGACCAGTGATGTGGAACATTTTTTCATATATTTACTTTCTGCTTTTGCTTCGTCTGAGAAATGTCTGTTCATTTCAGATGCCCATTTTTGAACTGGGTCTTTATATTTGGGGGGCTGATTGTTTTGAGTTCTTTATATATTCTAGATAAGAGTCCTTTGAGGAGCAGCTGGTAAAACTTTTTTCCCACATTGTAGGTTGTCTTTTAGCTCTGTTGATAGGTTCTTTTGCAGTGCAGAAGCTTTTTAGTAAGATGGGATCCCAGTTGTTGATTCTTTCTGCTAGTTCTTGTTGAGAAATTTAATATATAAATGAAGTACAAAATATAAGACAAGAGGAAAAGTTATGGTGATCCAGCATGGACAATGTATCTAAAAGCATACCCTGATTTAGTATAACTGTCTTATGTATTTTATGTCTTTTGGCCTGTTAGTCTGTTAATCTGTGTGTACGATAATATTAATTTTGTAAGGACTTTAAGATAAATGAATCTAATGGTGGCAAATAAGAGAGAGGAAAGGGGTCAAAAGAATTGAAGTGTGTTATGTCCATGGGCCAGTTCCCCACAAAGAATGCAGTCATTATGTATTGCAAACATGTACCAATAGAACGAATGTTCATCACACGAAGTGTTAGAAAAGGCTAAAAGGGAGGGAAAACAGAATTTAAATGTATTTCTAAACACAAAAATCCACCCAGAAGTAGTATCTTAAAAATCTTCCTGGCTTAATGTCTACGCATCCCAAGTCGCTCATATTTTCACTCAAGTAACGTTTTAAACTTTAAAGTATATTCTTCTCTATTAAAATCCTCATGAACCTTGCCAAGCAAGCTTCATGATTTCCCTTTTTGAAGATGAAAACTATTTAGAGTAGTTACACGATTTATCTAACATTACACAGTTAGACAGTGACAACACAATACAGACCTTCGCCTTCTGTTTGCTCCACTAGAGCATTCACAGCTGCTAAATAAATGGATTCTCACATAAGACATCTCTGCAGCAGACTCGGGAATGCCAAACAGGAATAAAAGCAAGGGGCCAAGAGTCTGAGCAAGTCAAGAGCACATGCCATTCACGCAGTACCTGCTGAGCACCCCCTACGCCAGGCGCGCGACAGCAGCCTTTATTAGAATGAACTCATGTGACACCTGCAGTTTTAGAGGTAAGGAAACCAAGGGATAGCGAGGGCTGAGCAACTCACCCCAGGTTACAGAGTGTGCAGTGCAGAGTCAGGGCTGTGCTGCAGCTGTACCTGACACTAGGGCGAGGACCTGCTATGTTTCTCCCACTTTGTGGCGGCCATGCGGTCCCCCCATTGTCCACCACGCCGCTTGGATTACTCAGAAGGCCTTGCCGTGTCACCTGCTCTCACAGCACTAAATAACTTCCTAGCTCATGGGCTTCTTGAAAGCTGCAAAAGACTAGTTTGTACAGTAAAAGAAGTATGTTTCAGGTAAGTAAACAGTGTTTCTGAATACAGGAGGAGGGAATTTAATCCGTTTAAAAGCTCAATCACCTAGAAGAACATGGCCACAGAAACACTACCACCAACTTGTAGCATGGGCGCCTTTTCTAAAGCATAGATGCAGAATTTTCTCTGTTAAAGATGATAATACTTTTTCCAGACACTTAAAAAAGCTATCCACGCAAATAAGAACCTAATACATACTTAAATGATTGTTGCTGTAACTGAGTCATTTTGTACCACTGTTTTTGTCTTTAAGCTAAAGCTGGGTGAAGGGAGGGCCAACAGATGAACCCACAGAATTTTAAAATAGCAAAAGCCTTGGAGCTCGGTGTATGTACTTTATATGGATCAATTTGTAGCTCCTTCTAGGTAGAATGTCCCCAAGTCCTTCCCAGAAAGATGCAGAACACAGGGATTGAATGGCTCGGCCGTCCATGACCACTGCAGAATGTACTCAGATGAACTGTTCTAAACTCCCAGGACAGTAAGAACTTAAAAATTACTATAGAATGCCGAGGACACCAGGTGAGCTGCTAGAGAACTGGAAAAAAGTGTAGTCGCGGTGACCATGATACTTCCATAAGCTACGGAGAACGGGAAGTCTAGACTTTGCAAAGCTGCCACAGTCCTTTTACATGAGGTGGTAAGAGATCCATCAGAGGCGCTTCATCGAACAAGTATTAAATACTGTCCTCTCTCAAGGTCTGCAGGGGCAGTGATTTCAGGATCGTTGCTGTTACCAAATCCATACACTGTCAAGTCTCTCATCCAAAATGGCAAAGTATCTGCATGAAATCTATGCAAATGCTACATATGCAAACACTAGATATCCTCCATGTACTTTAAATTATTTCCAGATTATAGTACCGAATACAATGTGAAAGCTGTGAAAATAGTTGCTATCCTCTTGTCTAGGGAAAATTGGCAGGAAAAGTCTGTATGTGTT